ATGTGGATTATATGGGAGATGTGGCACTAAGCCAAGCCTGACAAAGTTTCTGTTGTAGAGGAGAAATGTTCTCTCTTGGAAAGAAGGACCTTTAACTGCTGAGAAGGAGCTCGTGGGTTGTGTTTCAGAGACAGCAAAAGAGCAGCAAGTCAGCATAGAGGGGGAAGTGTGTAAAGAGAGTGGGATGATCACACAGGGTCCCAAAGTGGACCACAGAAGAGACTAGTCCCAACAGCAAGGGCCATAGCAAGCACAGCTAGGCTGAGGGGTCTGTGAATGAACACCACACACTCTGTCGATTTCATGTTCCTATAAAAGCAGGGGGAAAGATAAAGAGCCAGATTATGAAGAGGAGTAGTAAAGTTTCAAAATAGTTATTGTCTCTAGTAAAATCCCAGGGATTTTCATGACTATACTTGTAGTGGATTGTAAGACACTTCACTTTTGGAAATTGGCCATAAGTCAGAGAACAAGTCCTATATGCATCTTCAAAAGTTTCATTAAGCAGAAGTTTCTAGAAATCTGTGTAGGAGCCTCCCAGTGTGAAGCATCTAAATGGGACCAATCCATAAATGGGGTGGAAGCAATTATGTATTTAAGAAAAATAACAGTGTCTCTCCACCTCACAGCCAATCAAGAAAACTGACCCAAGCAAATGAAAACCAAAGTGATTGAAGCAAAGTGAAATTCGTAGAAAAAAATGTAGGAAAATAATCCTGGCACCTTATGAAAACCAATTCTAGCAGCTAACAATCTGTCAGTATGAGGAGCCAGGCAAGCACTCTACAGACAGCAGAAGTACATGGTGTGGCCTGGTGGCTAAGGGCACACTGTGGCCAGAGAACCGTGTGTGCTGACAAGTTGTGCTCCCCACAAGCTTTAGAGCCCTCTACTAAGCCAGGCCAGCCTGTGAAAACAAAGAAATCATCCCTCCCTCCCACCCTTCTTTCTTCTCCCTCCACCTCATTTTCTTCCTTTTCTCCTGCTATCCTCCTAGGTATTATTATGGAGCATAGATTTTTAGTAGGTCCAGTGTGTTTCAGGTATTAGTCAGTGTTCTTTTTGAGCTCAAATTCATCCATTATCCTGGGAAACTCTTCATATTGTTATGGCCTCTTCACATGAGGACACTTGTCTTCAATGACTTCTTTGCTTTCTGATATAGTAGGATGTCTTAGGATCCAAAATTTAGCTATTACAAATTGCACTCCTATAAGCATAGGTGCACATATATCATTGTTGTATGATGTTTTAGTTCTTCTGGAAGAATACCCAGAAGGGGAACAGTTGCATTGAATGGGGCCTCTAATCCTAGGGGGTTTTTTAGTACTCTTCACACTGTTTTCCACAGTGGTTGTACCAATCTACACTTCTACTAACAGTGGAAAAGGATTCCTTTTTCCTCACCAGCATTTATTATTGATTTGGTTTTTCTTAATCTTTTATTTATTTACATATTTATTTGGTACAGGGTCTCCCTATGCAGCCCAGACTCATAGTGATCTACCATCTCAGCCTTCCCAGCACTGGGATTATAGA